AGTTTTAGGCCAATAGGGACAAGGGTTTCTAGTGGAGATACACAATGGCATTACCTTCACCTTTCATTAACATAACTATGATAGGTAAAGCCTTCAACTTAATAAAAAAATAATACATTACTTTTTACTTGACCTAATGTTAGCGGAAAATTAAGCACTTCATCTGCGTACCGGCAGTGCTCATCAACGAAACGAAACTGACACAAATTCAGTTGCATATATTTTCTATAGCAATCATCGGCTAACAACAAGCTGATATCGAGACGTGAGTTAATCCAATAGCACACTACAGAGGAGTCCCTATTGGATTACTCCAATGTTTGCAGAGCATAAACATCATACGCACAAGTATGTATGTACATTTATGTAGGCAGATCAGCGTGAACTTTTGGTAGCTACCATTCATCAAAACCCTCAAACTTTTGACAGTCCACATGGGCATTTGCATTAAATAAGCCTAAGAAGACTCAGTAAGGCTGGTAGTATTTTTTTAAAGCGTATATATATATCATACAAACGATAACTAAGTATAGGGTTATGCGAGAGAAATTAAATTTTTGATTAGAAATTGAAAAAATTAGACTTTCTTCTCAATTTTAGCTACAAAAATAAATATTCTCGAATATTTTTGTAATAACTCTCAACTAATTTCTTTTTTTATTAATTATCACAGCCTTCAATGAGTCATCTTATATATATATATATATATAGCTGGCGATTTGTAGCCGCTGAATCTATTTTCGGCCGAGCTCCTCCTCCAATCTGTGGATTTGCGTCTTGATGGTTTCCCAACAAATGGAGGGACCTACGGTTTTTACTAAGCCGCCTCCGAACGGCTGACGGTGTTTTGTGAAGAGTTTTTTATTTCATGTCAGAAAAACAGTCGTAGGGGTCGACACTCCCTGTCGAGGGGCAGAAAATTTAACTTAATTTTTTATTGAAATTAATTTTCTATAACTTTGTGCATGTTGGTACGAAACCAGAATTTGCACTCGAGTCTTCCAAATGACAGTACGCAATGCTAACCACTTTGCAACCGCGGCCGCCTGTAACCTAATATTTAGCAAAATCTACTACAGCCCTATTATGTAACCCGCTATTCAATTTGATTAGCTTATCATATTATTATTATTATTTTTATACGTTTGCGGATCTGTTGGCGAATAAAAATGAGTGCGGTTCCTCAAAGCAAAGTCAAATAGTTTGTGCAATGCGAGACATAGAAATATACATACCTACGTACATATATATGTAGATATGTATGTACACATGTATATTCGACTAACCAAATTAGTGATCCGGAGAGTTTTTGAAATTTGTAAAACAAAAGGTTAGATAAAATATTTACGTGACATTTTAACGGAACAAATTAAAAAAAAGCGGCGAAATGCAAGAGATAAATTTAATATGTGTGAAAACAACAAAAACAATAATCATAATAAAACCTCTGCAAAAGACCCAAAAGAAAAGAAGAAAGAGAAAAACCTTAAAACGGAATGTCACCTACCTTTTGCTCTTACTGTTGTTGTATTCGTATTAGCGCATCAACTGAACCAATTCCAGTCAACCTGTTGAATTTGTAAAACTTGATACGTTAATAACACAAAACATTACTGGCATACATATGTACATATGTACACTTTAACTTACATATGTATATGTAGGCATTTGTGCAGTATTTACTTATAGAAAGCAGTATATGTATGTTCATATGCACCATGTTAATGTCAGGTATGTATGTATGTACGGGATTTGGGTTTCTTTTAGGGATTACTTTCGTCTTTAATGCATATTCCAATAATCTCAATCTTTTTTTTTAGCGGTATAACTCGCATTAACTCCCTTTTATATATGTATGTACATATTTTTTTAATTGCGTATTTTCGTGCATTCACTTATGGTCGCCAGAGGTGTTGTACATATGTGCGTCCAGCGAAAATGAAAGTGAATATTGTGCTGATTGAAGAGTTCTCTCAATTAATAGTGTAAAAGAAGTACATATTTATATAATTATTGGCTTGTGAGAGAAATCATAGCCGCGCTTCCACGTGCTCACCTTATGCATATATTGGGTCATCCATTTCGTGGTTTGAAAAGTGCAGGGTTGTCTTTTGACATCAGTGAAGAGACTGAATCGATTACAGACATTATAAATCCTGTTCATCATACTTTTGCTCTTTCCCCATCTATTCTAAGTGAAAGTGTAGCCGAAGACCCGAATATGCTTATTTCTCGCCATTCTTAACAGCTGGAACATTCTTACAGTGCATTATGACATGCATCTCCATCCATCAAGTCAAGCTCACATAAAAAACTGAAGGCGTCCGGTACACATGGAGAGCATACGTCAATTGCTTGCTTGTACAAATGTCGTATTTAAGGCTACGAGAACTCTCAAAAAATTGAAATAACTTTCTGTCTGGTGCGCTCTTTGGTCCTGCGATAGGATTTCATCTTACTTCCTTGGAAAAGACAACGTTGATATACGAAGCATTCTGGTCGGTTGATTATCGGTTATTTTTTTTGGTCCGAAATAGAAGAGCACGACTTCAACAACTTGTGATTTCAACAATAAGTTGCTACATGCCACACGTTGGGAGGGAATGTGGTTTAATTGTACAACGTAGGACATTTTTTGTAGGGCCATGCAAAAGACCGTTATTGTGCGGATAAATCATTAACTGTGGAGCGCTTGAAACCCAACATTCGGCTAGTTATGGCTGAGATACCGCACAATATGTGCCAAAATGTAGTTGGAATCTGCCTCATACGGAACGAAGTGAGCCTAAAGCTTTTTATAAGCTGTCTAGGAAGAGTCGATGAATTTTTTAGACTCGGTGAGGTTAACTGCAATTTTTTCTAAGTTTTTGGATATTGGTTTTGCTAAGATTGAAACGTATGAACCCCCAAATGATAGAACATACTGCTAACCACTGGAACAGTACGGCTTCGGAACTTACTTTAAAAGGTCTTAAATCCAAGTATTTTCATGAGATTATTCAACAATATTAAGTCTTAAAAATAATTCTATAACTAAAGTGAACTCATAAGAAAGAAAAAGCTGTGGTTGCTTTGAGCTCTTTGTCGATGTAGTATCGCTTAGCAGTAAAACCGTTTTATTTACACTTCATCCCATTGAGTCAAAGTTCTCAACGCCCCATGAAGATAAATTAATCAAATATACTCCCAGTTATGTACCTTCACCTTCTTCCAATTGAGCTCCAATACTCTTCCTCGACCGACTGCACGAAATAACCTCTGTAGTTGCCTACAATACTGGTTCCTTAAAGAAGCAAAATACAACCGTCAAATTGGCAAAGTAATTGTTGTCTACATCGATCACGGCTGCGAATGTCCACTAGTGACGAATAAATCACATTGAATTTTTTTAAGTTAATTGATCAAGGACATTTTCGGATAGTTTAATTAGAAAATTCCTCAAATAAAAAATAGTTGATGGTGGAGGAAATCTAAAAATTAATCGAAGTTGAATTTATACATATCAGAAAATTATTTACAATATTAGCTCGGGCAGGACCAAAACAACATTTCAACTTCTATTAATTTGTGTTTCAGACAAAAAAGACTTACCGTAGGTCGAAATATCCACAAGAGACAGAAACGAATTACCAATAATGGGAGAAAAAAGCCGAGCAGGGTACCGTTTTCTATAAGTACTAAAAGAGTTGTCACGATCATACAAGTAATTATAGGAGGCAAGAACCTACTATTCCTCTGAGAAGAAGGTTCTACTCCAAATCCTCTATGAACCTACGTGAAGATGGACAAACACGAATTTAAACACCAACTCCGTAAAATTTTATATTTTTATTAAAGCCCCTGAATCTGGCAAGCTGAACTCAGGGACAAACCAAGATCGTGGCTACCGGATACAGTGATCATAATTAGTATAAATACGTTATCAGACAATTAGTCTTTGAGCTATCGACCTGCAAGACCATAATGAATTAGATGTCAGATGGCTTAGATGGCTTAGATGGCTTACGACGACTCTTGTTCGAAAAAAATCATGATTTACAAGTGGCACAGTTTATTTAAATTATTTATGGTTGAAGTATCCGATGCAACTATTCTTAAAATCCTGTACAATCATCATAGCATGACTAAGATCAGCGCAAGATGGGTGCCCAGACAAATCACGCCTCCGCCGAAACACCAACTGCGTTTTGGTAACTACCCTGCTTAAGATGGGCTCCGATATTTTGAATTACCCACCCTACAGCCTAGGCCTGGGTTCGAGTGATTATTACCTGTTTCAAAAAATTAAAGAGAAGTCGTATAAAGACCTAACTTTTGAAGAAATTGTACTGGCATACTTAAGGGAAAAGTTTTGCTGAAGATACATTAGTATTTCGACGGCACAGAACTAATCCAGTCTAGTAAAAGGTAATCCATTTTGCAGATGGTGTCATTAGCGCTTGGAAGCACATTTTTGGCTTAATTAGTGCGCAGAATAAGCAGAATTGTCGATTTTGGAGTGAAAATCGGCCAGAAGCATTGCAAGAGACATTTCACTATTCCGTCCTCCGGCTCGCAGCCAAATTTATTTATTATTAGCTATGACACAGCCTTAATCCATGTAATTCCCGAATACTATGATTTACTGAATAATAATTTAGATTGAAAATACCCACGGAAATGTAAATATATTCATATTTATTCTAATAAATGAATCTAGCTTACAACAAAGGATACATTAACAACAAATTTAATGAAAACCGCTAATTTCACAAACACCAACGCAACCATGTTTTTTCCTTGCCACAAAATTGGACTTTACCTTGAAATATCGTGAAAGTAAACAAATTACATACATACGAATATACACGCATATCCCCAATAAAGATGGCATATATATGTACGAGTATATTTAAAATATAGAAAAAAACTTTAGTTTTTTTTTTTCCTATCTCTACACTGCACGGCGCAAACTCTCCTGATGCCTGTTGTTAAGTTTGGTGTCATCACTGCGCGCTGCATTACAGGTCAGCGGCCATAATGGCAACACCAACAACACCCATAAAAACAGCAACGCCTGCGCTAGCCATACCGCTTAGTACGCAATCGATTGCTCTTGGTTTCTTTTCATTTTTATTTCTATTTTCGTCTCGTTTCTTTTGGTTCATACGCTGCTTTCGGCTTTTTGATAAAGCTGGCTGACATATGTATTGTTGTAATTGTTGTATTTCATCGGGAGAAGACACTTGCAGATGAATTTCCTGTTGCTGCTGTTGTTGTTGCGTCGGCTTTAGCCATAGCTGGCGGTTTTGTTGCTGCTGCTGCTGTTGCTGCTGCTGCTGCCAAAACTCTTGATACAACTTCTCCCTTTCTTGTATCTTTTGTTTGTACTGGTATTTCCATTCCATTTGTCGTATTTGGTGCGTTTCTATCTGCCGGACGTCTTTAGCCAATATTTCAGTTAACTTGAAGATTTTAGTTCAGTCCAAGTTGGCATTTTCACCGGTACAGTACGTTAAATAAATCGCGCGCATGCGCTAAGCAAAAACGTTACGTTTCGTGCGTTATTATTGATCTGCTAATGATTTTCAATATTCATCGATACAAAAAGGATTAAATTTGAATTAGTTGTAGTGCTCGATTTTTTTTTTGTGTTGATTAGCAAATTTACAAATACACTTTAGTAATTTTTATATTCGCACTTAAACGAGGTGAATTTAATTATTATTTAAAAAAAAATTTTCACACAAAACAATTTAAGCAAATAAATATTGATATTTAAGAAAAAAAAACGAAAAGATATTTGAAAAATTTGTGACTGGTGATAGTGTTGGAGAACAAACGAAAATGAACTAAATTTTTTTTTACAAAAAACCAAAAATATTTTCAGGTTTGCAGGGTTCCAAAAAGGAAAGCAAACAAAATAAATAAATATATTTTCCGCTAAAAAAGGTATGTGAAGGATATAAGTGGAGCTTAAATTGTGTAAATGAAAGTATATTTATTAAAAAAAAAAAATGTTTCTATGGAAAAATTTTTAACAGTCTGATAAAGGAAAATAAATATATTGAAGTGCTTTTGGTCAATAAAATTCTCTATTTATTCTGGAATAATGTAAACTGGCGGGCGCAGTAGCCGAGTAGTTAGATTTGGCCCAACAGCAAAAATTGTAGAAAATTAATTTTTCTAATTGTGGTTTCCTCTCCGACGATAGGTAGTACTAGGCTGACAAAACACTATAATTTATAAACATAAAAATTGCAAATATATAGCTAACGACGTAAAGAAAAGCTCTGGCATGAAATCTTATTGAATTATCTGGGTGAAATTCCCGGGTCAGAGAGTATTGCGTGCTGCCATTCAATTGGTTGTGGTTCTATACTAAGATTTTTGGCAAAATTTGTAAATCCGTTTACGCCACCAGTATAAACGATTTTCTTTCAAAATGAAAAGATCTACAGCTTAGAGCTTCTTCGAACATTTTGATGGCTCTTCGAAGCCCAGAGAGGTTGGCATGGCCTTCCAAGGGACGAATGCGTTAGAAAAAAACTGTTTAGTATTGTAACCCCTACCCTCTTGGTCGTAGTACAAATGACTACCCATGTGATTACTTTGATCATAATTAGAAGTTCCGCTGGAAGGAGAAATGTGGGTTACTCCATTTACTGAAAAATTTAAAACACACATCAACAGTCACCCAAGAAGTTCGACTGAAATCCCGTCTAGCGGCGTGGAGCTTATGAGTTTGGGACCCGCCATGAAAAAAGCAGAAAGCTTAAGTGTGTGAGCGCCATTGCTCAGCTGGTTGATCTGGTGGGATTAAAGTCTAACATCACCACCGTGCAATAATTGCGATAAGCGAGACAGGGAAGGAAACAAGTAGATCCTTTTGGCATGAACTATATATGCGTCCAAAAGACATGAAGAACCGGAAAAGGCCGTATATTTTCAACAGAGATTCAAATTCTGCTTGCAAATTATTTGTCGATAGTTCCGGTGGACGAACATCTTGTCACAAAACCCACGAAAGGAATCATTTTTAATTGATATGACTAAGCTGCGTCCTGTTGAAACTAACGATCTCTGATTGCCTTGACTGCATTTACGATCATTACCCAGCACTTTGCGATTTTAACGACAGGATGAGCAAGGATAGTATCTATAACACAATAGTACAATGACTTAAGGCTGATCGACTAGGCTGATGCCTGAAATATAGTTGTAAGTAGTACCAGATTGTGGCAAAAGCTAGATCAAAGCACTCGTAACCAAATCGACCATGTTTTGACAGACCGAAGATATTTATGCATGGTTCTTAATGTGAGTATACTCCGCAGTAAAGGAATACTTAACAACTGCTGATAAATAGGTCAATTTCCTGGATCTCAGTTATAATGATTGCGCTCAAATGTAGGCAAAGTTTTCTCTGAATTTTCTTCTTCTTTACCCATCAAAGTGTTTTTAGGTAATAAATGTTTTATGTAATAAATGTTTTTAGGTAATAAATACAGTGGACCCCCGATAATCCGGCAAACATTATGCAGGGCAGTGTCGGACCATCGAATTTGTCGGATTATAGAGCACTGCCTAAGACCCCTATAGTCCGGATTTTTTTACGAAAGAGTACCTTGTAATCCGACAAATTACATATCTAATGACGAGAGTCTATATATTATACGTACATATGTATGTACTTTGAAGTACAAATCAGACTTAATTTATGTAAGTCGAATTTAGTAAATTAAATAACAATTGAGAGTTTACGTTTTATTATAAAATTAAGCATAAATGCACATACATATCTACCAAAATAATCAAGAATTATTAATCAAAATCATGTAGTGAATACTATANCAAAGCTTCTTCCACTTCTGGATGTTCACCTTTCTTGAGTGTCTGTCTCTTGCCTGGCCCGCAGTCAGTAGTTGACACGAACTTCTTAATCTTCTCGTGGTTTTTTTTAATGTCATAAATTGTAGATCGGCCTACGCCGTATTCACTTGCTAAACTACTGAAAGTTTCATTGCGATTTAAGCGATCTAAAATATCACATTTTTCTTTAATTGTCAACGTTTTGTGCTTTCGCTTCTGGGTTTGTGACGACATTACTAGGTACTACATATACCTAATACACAATGAATAAATAGTAAACAATGAACGTACGCTAGGCCGTACCGCTATCACTAGTAGTCAAATTCAAACTAAGTAAAACAATGCATACGCGTCGAGCACGATAGCGGTGGCGCGTTCGAGTTGTGACCTGTTCAAACTTGCGTGATCTATATGTATTAGCAAAGATTGTCAAACATAATTCTGTCATGTCGGATTACAAGGGGCGCCGGATTAGACAGGGGCCGGATTATCGGGGGTCCACTGTATAGTATTTTTTTTATTGTCAATTTTTTTTTCTTCGTCGATTAGCAAAAAAACTTCCGGGATATCTTTTTTTGAAATGAAAAATCACGTGCGCAAAGCCGTAAGCCTTTAATGCTAGCCACTTTGTCGGCTAATATATGTATGTAATTTTGACACTTAAAATATATAAGTCACTTTTTACAAAACTTCTTCGACGTAAAACAGATTTTTTTACTATCAACCGCCAATTTATTGCCCCTTTTATTGTTCACAGACTATTATGGCATACAAAGTGATGTGAAGTGCACTTCAAATTGTTGTGTTTTATTATTCTTTAAGAATCTACCCAACCATTTGTGGTGTCTGTATTGTTTAAAGTGCCAACAATAGCTAAATGCCGGAATTCCCATAGCAAACTGAAAACTAGTTCATCTGCATTTTTATCTTAAAGTTCAATACAATTTTTTTCATTTTATTTTCAAAGCAAGTCACTCACTTGAATGGCATTTTAAATGGCTTGTAGGCAATAAATACAGCTAAGATGTTTATATAAATTTGCATATAATTTAAATATAATATATCGCAATAGAATTGTCTCATCGAATTTAAAATGCTTATTTGCATACATATGTGATGTGCCAATAACTGTATTCAATCGACTGCAAAATATTTGTGAATCATTTGGTAAACAATGGTCGTGTTTTGTTTTATATACAAAGCTGACGAATTTGAAACGGAAAGTGACTAATTCTTTGGCAACATCATTAATTAGCCACGCTTGGAGTTTTGTGCATTCTGTGTAGAGTAAGTTTGAGAAGCGTTGCAAATTTGCTGTCAGCGAATGCAATGCCATTTCTAAGGCGGGGTGATGAGTTAATGAAGTTTTCTTTTTTCTTTTTTTGAAATAAAAGTACAGTGAAGGTTCTTCTTTCCCCCTCCCCCTCGCACTGGTGCTGAATTTTTATTAGGACCTTTGATTTTCATGTCAGAAATACAAACGGAGAACTTGAGGCTACGTGCCGAGATGCGACCACGATTAAAAAATAATAATTTCTATAATTTTTGTTGTCTGTTTAAATAAGTACTCGAATCATTGCCTTCCGGCTAGTGCAGCCGCTTGAAGGTTTTCCAGCAATTTTTTTTACCTAACAAAACTAAGTCGTCAATTCCATAGCTACTGCGCATAAAACTATGCTATGAGTAGATATTAGGCATAATTTTAGGCTCTTTTCAATTGCTTACTACTTCACTGACGATTTTGCCATGGCTGACAGAATGAGAACAAATAGTAAGCGCTCATAAAATTTTAAGTCCTGAAAAACAGAATACGAAAATAAATGTAAATAAATTTTATATAAATTTTGAACCTTAGCAATATATACATACATCATTTAAATGACCGCCATGCGAATATTTGCACACTTCATCCATTTGAGATTCTTAACACATCTTGGGCGTTATCTCAGCCATAGGAAAGAAAAATGTTGGTTTTCAAGTACTCAATGATTTATCCGCCCAATAACGGTCTTTTACATAGCCTCCAAAGGAAAAAATTGCAACTGTATCAAATTGCCCGTTCTCGGTAGACTATTTGCATAGCCAAGACGAAATTTCTCCCGCAATAAAACTATATTCGCTCGTGACATGTGGCATGTGGCACCCTGTTGTTGAAATCACCGACTCATGTTCTTCAATTGTAGGTCAAAAAAGGCGCCTATCATGCAAGCTAGATAGTGAGTTTCTTTTTGTTACACTCATGACCTATTCTTAATTATTTTAGGAGTCTCAGAGTCTTAAATGCCCCGAGTGATAAATCTGTCTTGACTCTGAAGAAAATTTTGAAAAATTTTTGAAAAATCGCCGTTCACTGCTTGTTGTTTCAGAACCCGATCGACGTGTGTACGGCGTTGTGAATGATCAGCTGGCTTCAGTTGTAGTTTGAGCTGGATGTAAGTGTAAATCTAAGTAGAAAATACGCCATAACGTACCGTTAAGAAATAGACACATTGGAGGTGAAAATAATGATGATGCACAGGCTTGACAATATCTGTAAACGAAGCAGTTTCTTCAAATTTCTTTGAAATTTACCAATTGCTTGAGTAGTTGGATGATGGTATACACCATAACGTCCTCTTAAGGCACGAAACGTGGCCACGTTCAATCCAATATTTTTGCACTAAATTTTAAAAATTTTAACGCGTTCTGCGGTTGTTAAGCGATCCATATCAAAATAGTCTGACTTTTGACTAAAAAAAACATGTTTGGTTTGACATTTAAGTTTGAGAGATGCCAAAATACAACCTCGCACTTTTGAGACCACGAAATGGATAATGGATAATGGATATGGCCATAGATGGCTCTTCTTTCTTCTTTTTATTTATATTTTGCTTTAATTTTTTTTTTTTTTGATTTTTCTCAATTTAATTTTTACTTTTATTTACACTTTATCCCTTCACAACTTTTCGTTTGTAACACCAACAAAACAATTTGTGGAAAAAATCAGCTTGCGAATTTTTATGTTAACTAAATTTTTATTTAAAACAATTCCGTCTTTTCAATCGCGTATATAAATTTTAAATTCTGAGAAAATATTCGAT